ATAAAGAAGAAGTTTCCTTCTCTATCTCTTTCTCGTTCAAAATAGATGCACTTCTGAGTGAAGAATAACAAGAATAAAGCAACGTTAAGAAAAGCATTGAACAATAACCAAAAAATAGAAAAGAACACTAATAATATTATTTCACTTCGTAGACTATGGCAAATAGTAGTACACAAATCACTCGTTACAAACTGACTAGCAACGAATAATTGCTGAACACCTGATTCAATCAATACAATGTATTCCAGCGGAGCACAAAGGCGATACGCGCAAATGAGTAACTAATGTATCACTGGGACTCCTTGTAAATCTTCCTCATCAAAGTCACATGATTCTGGCAATAAGATTTCTGGATCGGTGAACTAAAACAGAAGAGATCGCTAATCATAAAACATTCGGAAACGGAAACTATGGAAACTCGTAAAAATACCTAAATATGTGTCACATCCACGAACTCATAAAAATTATAAATTTGAAGCTATCCTCATCGTATTCTTTTCGAAAATTTTCCTTACAATAGTGAATGAACATCAGTTAAAACACCGCTGATATTTGCTATTTTGGATGATTACGTTATACGCGAATGCTGACAAGCTGTGGTAGCTTTACCAACGAAGTTGAATTGGGGTGTAAATGTGCCTCGGTGGTGTAACAGGTACCTAATAAGGAAAGTAAGTGATGCGGGTACGAATCCCGCCTGGGGCGAAGTTTTGCCCTCGCAACTCAGCATTCTTGTGATGACAGCTAATACTGTTTGTTATAAAGACTAACGTCTGTTTGTTATAAAGACTAACGTAAGCCCGGATTACAGCTAACTTTCTGTCATCCCCTCTTTGTTTTTCATCAGAATATCAACTATTATTGTTGCCAAGCCAATGCTATAAACTTTGTTATGACAGAGAGGTTGTAGTTACAAGTTGTTTTTTCGTGTCTTAGCGACTTACGGTAAAGAAACTGCTAAGTAAGCAACACGTCATCATAGATCATAGCAAGCAATCATTTACATTCTGCTGACTATGACCTACTCGAGAAAAAAAAACAATATGATCAAAACAACAAGCAAAAAAACAGCGAAACAAAATATAATAGTAAGCTGTAGGTGCTATGAAGAAACAGTTTTTACCTCGATTTCGTTGTTATCTATCATGAGATGTACTCGCTTATGGTAACTTTCATGTTGTTCCAACGATTTTCGGTCAGCAAAAACTTTCAGGCAAATCTAAAAAGGTCACTATTAGATGGCAGACTATCTAAAACACTCTTAACGCTACATTACCTCACAGAACAATGGCCTTTCTATTCGTGCCATTGGATGTTCAATTTCCAAATGATCGTA